TGCCCCAGCTAATAAGATTTATTTGCCATGGGCATGCAAGCGTACTGGCCCGTGTAAGGCGATAGCCTCTAATTAAAGTTCACAGGCAATGCAGCCTAATAATGGTTCAGTTTTTCGGAATTGTGGATGTGTTACTAGATTAATGATTAAAAATGCTTAAAGGTTAAATAATTTACCTTATGTAATGCATTTTCTATAGCCGTCATGGGAATACACCTTTATACCATGTCTAAAATGAGAATTGATTGATTGATATTCTAATTATCTATGTCAACTATCAAATAAAGGAGCCTGCTTACTAATATTTTATATACTATATATATATCTATCAGTTATAATATGAAAGATCTATTATTCTAAACTCTAAAACATTATAGTTGATAAACTATGTAAGTATTTTTGATAGAAACTGAATGGTTTCTCAATATGCATTCATTATACTATTTTATCAATATTTTTTATCAGCTAACAATTTTGACGAAAACTTTCACTCCATAATGATTTATATATTTCTCAACTATATGATTAGTATATTTCCCAGCTATATGACACATGCGAATTATGCGGGTTAGTTTCAATTGTATACAATAGGTATATGTACATATATGTATTAATATAGCTGACTCCATATATACGATTCACTTTTCAAGTATGTGCGGCAAATCTTATCAGCAAAATTTTGCTCAAATAAACATTCAGATTTTTCCGCAGCTGAAACTAATACATGAATATACATATATACATACATACATACATATATAGATGGCATACTTTCTGCGTCTTTGTTTGAGAAATGGAAATACAAGAGTTAGATTAAGTATATATAAATAAAATATTGCCATAAACACACAGATAATAAATGGAAAGTCTAGCCTCGATTGAAATTATGTATATTATATTAATTATAAATGCAACAGAAAAGAAGTTTGACTTTACATAAAGTGACAAAAAAAAAACAATTTGTATAAAAAAATGTTTTTGTTTGTACTTAAAATAAGTTTTAATGATTTTTTAATATTTTTTTTATGCCAATTTAATCTCGCCATTTACTATAATTATTATTTAAAAACAACTGTCTGCTGTTAAATTCTAAAATCATTCAACAAATAGCTTTAGAGGGGGGGAATACCAAACTTCTGTTTCTGCGGTTGTTGCTATGTATGTATGTATGTATATCACAAATACGCCTGCATTTAGGGCTAACTGATAAGGGGAATATATGAATTTACATGTGCATGTGTGTGTGGGGGCGGTTATGTCTAACGCAAATAACAAGCAAGTTAAATAAATAACAATTTAAGCATCACTGTGAATCAAATATAATTAAATGGTTGATGCCAGGCACAACAAAAGAAGACGACGAAGTGTAGCCTCTTAGGCCAAACACGAGAAGAAACGAGCAAAAGCGAGAAATTGAATATGCCTGCATTCTGCTACATACAAACATGCATACATATGCAATGCGGGGGCTGCTGCCGGCAGAAGCCGAAAGAACGAGGAAAGCAAATTGTTTTATCTGCCCGTTTCTCATGCTCTATGCAGGTAGAACGTTGTTGTTCTTGTCGGTTAGATAAGCGCAGCATACAATACAAGCAAACATATGCACATATGCAGCAGCAGCATTAATGCTAGTGTGTGTATGTAAGTGGAGTCAGAACTGAAAAAACCGTTTGCGTTTGCCTTCGCCTTTGTGCGCTTCCTCTTTGTTGCAGCGGTACTGAGCCACCATCTTGTTAGATTTCTTAGATTCTACTTCGTAACTCTGTCCTCCAATGGCAACGACAATAACCGCAAGAAAATTGTCACAAACCAGATAAATGTCAATGCGCTGCACACACACAAATTGTGGGACACAATCACATACACACATTTGCACGTCTATGCGTTTAAAACGTATAAATTATTCTACATGCGACTCAGTGTTGTTTTTCAACAGCCCTTGTAGATAAAACCACAGCAAAATAACAAAATAGCAACAACAAATCCATCAGCCCGTCAAACGGGTTACGTGCGTGCAAGCGGGATGCCAATAGGCGAAACAGCAACAAAAAAAAAAACAACAGAAATTAAATTGCGATGAACAAGCAAAAGCAAATTGAACAAAGAGTTGCAGTTCTTTTTTTGCGGGCGTCACGCGGTATGGGGGTTAGTTTTAGCTTTACTCACCAGAGCTGCTCAACAGGAGCAAAGTCGTGCATACTATAAACTTATGCCCAAACATATTTGATTTCCTATTCGTCTAGCCGTCAAGTTTTGCACTGCGTATTTGGTTGATTTTTTCTTGATTAAATATTATATATAATATTAAAAACGTAAAAGCAGAGTCGACTAGTTTTTCTTTTTTCAAGCTGGCACTTCTGCTTTAGCAGATATTCGTTTTATCTGGTCTGCTAGGAGCTCACTTTATTGCGCACAACGAAAAATGAAATGACATTAAATAATAGTGCTGGGCCTTTCGTCAGCTGTGAGTACTGTGTCATATCGACGATAGTAATTTCATATCGATTAGTTTTCATCGATAGTGTTAATAATTAAATTATTATATCGATATAAGAAGTTATCTATGCATATCGAAACACGCGTTTTTACAGCTCTACATAAATTTGTTGAAAATGCCCGCAAAACTTTAAAGATATGTAAGTCAATTTTTTCATCGTTCTTTCGTTAAAATTATTAAACAATAAACAGATATTTAATTTGTTTACAATACATTTCTTTTGTATATTTTTATTCACTCAGCCATTTTAAATTAAATTGTATTTTATACATACAGTATCTATATAATTATTTATATATATATTTTCATAAAAAAATAGTTCTTCAATTTTCATCAACTACTTATTAAACGTAATCATATATTTTATATTACTAAACAACACCCTAGCCTAAAACAAAGTATTGCATATATGTATATCAATACATATACATATATTTGCATAATATGTATAATATATCTATAGATAACCAACAAACAGTTTTACTTTAAAGTTTTTGAGCAAATCCTTTGAATAAAAAATATAAAAATAGATTGCAATTGCGTGTTTTACAAATTAAGCAACAATTTCCAAAATACCTACTTAAACTCTAATAAAAAAACGGTATCAAAAAGTTCAAGGCAATAACAATTAAGTAAGTTTTTGTGTTTAGTTTTTTGATTATGTTGTATAGCACTTAGCAGATAGCAAGAGGGGGCTGAAGAGGAGGTAGGTATGGGATCTATAGGGATAGTGTATGGTGGGGTACGACAGGTTAGGGTAGGGTAGTGTATATATATGCCACTTAAATTATTGCACCAGTTAATAGCCCGTTTCGGGCTCCTGTTTAAGCGTCATGCGACAAGGCTCTGTAAAGGAGAATACAGATTCAAATGAGTCTCAAGTTTAAGGATATATATATCTATATAGGGTATACACACCCATCACATAGCTGGGCGCCATCATGTCGGGCACTCGGATTTTGAGGGGCGTGCGGCGCAACAGCTCATCAGCGCTGTTGTCTTCGCTGCGATTGTATTCGTTGAGCGTAATGTCCGCCGGATTGCGCATTCCGAGGCCGGCATCGACCGGCGATGTGGCCACTCTTTGGTAGGGATGCACTCGCTGTGGACTGTGCATTAGCTGACTCTTGTGTTGGACACTATATTGCCGTGTTGCTGTCGCATCCATGTATACGTTCTCCTGGGACTTCGGACTACATGCAGCACTGCTCAATGGTGGCGTTACGGCAGATGAGGGCGTAGCAGCCACGACGGCAGCGACGGCAGCAGCAGCCGCTGACATCGAATTATTGTTCGTATAGGCACGTAACGTATCCTCCGCACTGTTCGCCTCAATGAGCGCCTGTATCTGTTGCACATCCAGATCCAGGCCATGCGTTCCGCTGCTCCCCGTGGCCAGTGTATCCAGTGTGGAGCTCACCTGGCTGCCATCCAAATTGCCGCCATGCGATGGACTCTGGTAATCGTTGGACTGATTTGGCGGCGACAGTGGCAACGAATTGTCCGCCAGTTCGCCTGCAAAGAGGAGTACAAATTAAATTGACTTTATTTTATTCTATTGAGTGCTTCCACCTACCACCCAGCAGCATCTCCTGCAGCAGCGAATCTATGTGTGCCACACCAAAGATTTTGGCAAATTGTATTTGTTCAATCATCTGCCAGGTGATTGACTGTAGCACCGGCAGAATAAGCAAAATCTCCCCAAATCTACCACGCGACTCATACTGTCGGTCCGAGATGTAATCCTCCAGATTGTTGAGTATCTGATGGCGCAATGACTTGATGCGATTTGGCTCGTTGAGACCCTTGGCATCTGCAATTATAAATCATGAGATATTTGATTAATTGAAATTGATATTAAACGTATCTATCCATTCCCTAAGTTCCTTTTAATATACATCTAAACAGTTTATATTTAGCTCTTAATATTTTAATCTATAGCTAAGCTAGTCTATGCCTTAATCGACTTACTGGGATCAAAGAAGACCAACGCCTTAATACAGGCAAATTCGGTATCATCGATGCCCACGTCCTTCATAACGACCACCAGTTCATCAATGATGCGCGCACCAATGCGTGATATATCCAAATTGGGCGAGACATGGGGATCTATAATACAGACAGAGAGAGGTTGACAAACATGAAGAACAAAAGAAGTAATCCACACTCACCTGGACAATGCCTGGTGATGACACAGTTGTTGCTAAGCAACAGCACATCCTTCAGATGCATGGAGCGACGCGAGAGACCAAGCAGCAGATGCTCACCCGCATGGGCGCGCAGCAGAGCCACTTGATCGTCCAGCTGCAGATCATTGAAGGCTGGTATCTGTTTGGCCCACTCGACTAGGGTGAGCAACTGCTGTTTCATGGACTCGCAGACATCGTTAATGCTGGCAAACTGTTTGGTCGAGAGATCCTCATTGATGTTGGGCTCCATGGCGGCGCCCGCTTTCGACTGTCGTGATTCGTTCTCCGCCTTGACCAGCGATACAACAGACAGTCCATTGCCTGGATCCGGATCATCATTGGAAGTGCGACGACAGCTAATGCGATCGCGTTCATTCTGCACCGCCTCCTTCTTCATGCCAGCCTTGAAACATTTGCGTAGACGGCAATAACGGCACTGATTGCGCTTATCCTTGTCCACAACACAGTTGCGTGCGAATCTACAGAGAGTAAGAGCAAAGGAAAGTAGTTTAAAGCGTGACTTCAGCTGGATGTCTCTTAGTCAAACTCACCTGCAGGTATATTGATGATTTTTGCGTACGCTGCGCCTGAAGAAACCTTTGCAGCCATCACAGCTGGAGGCGCCATAATGTTTACCCGTCGCCCGATCTCCACAAATTGCACAAACTGTTGGCGACTGTTGTTGTTGCTGCTGCTGCTGCAGTTGTTGTTGTTGCTGCTGTTGTTGCTGCTGCTGTTGCTGTTGACTGCTGCTCCCATTGTTGTTGTTGTTGTTCGGTGAGTACATCATGTTGTTGTTATTGCTGGCATTGCTATTGCCATTGCAGAGTGTGAAATTCTCGCTGCTCTGATTGCTGCTGTTGCTGAGGCCGAGGCCAACGCCATTGGGACTTAGCGCATGGCCAATGGGCGAGCCAGCAGGATGTCCAACAGGCAAAGCCTCTGCATGCATTATTTGACTTTCGGCCGATTCTGTGAACGAGAGAGATAGAAAAATATTATAGATAGAAATAACGCAATAAAATAATTAAAATCACATAATAAATAATAAATTCATATTTTAATATAACTACATATGTATATTGATATCTGATTTAATTAGTCAACGTTGCTTTTATTTGAATCCGCAGTTTTAAAGCCATAAAAAGCACTGTCATACAGTTTGAGCAGTTCGCCAACAACTTAAACAGTTTGAGTCACACTGTGTGCATACACGAAGCGCAATAGGCGATTTCGCAGTTTTCAAAATATTCAACCCATACCAGTTTGGCTACAGTCTGGCTTAAATTAAATATTAAGTATATATACATATATATACTATATAAACTTGTCTAAGCAAATTTTAATGCAAAGCAAATATTTATAATTAAACATTTTTAACTGCAGCACAATAACAACAGTTGCACAATCACTGCCGACGCAGCTGTGCTTTACAGTTTAAGGGGCTCGCAAATGCTTTTCTTGTTTGCCTAAGCCTAAGTTCTCATTGCATGCATACATATGTATGTATGTATGTACATATGTATGTACATGTACATATACGTAAAACGCATTAGGCGTGGGCTGCAGTTTCAACGGTACTGATCATGAACTTTTTATGCTGCCAAAAATAAAGATAAATATTCTTTTTAAATGTTTTACGAAAAAAAAAAACTGAAAAAAGTGAATACTATAAATAAAATGGCAAGACGCGCAATACACTTTTAGCAAAAAAATTAACACACAAACACACACACCATCACTTGAAGCTGAATTGCTGGCGCTGCTGTCCCGTCGTCGACGTCGCTGCTGCCGTTGACGCAGTCGCCTAGCCATTGCTGCCTGCCCATCGCTGCTGACACGTCCACCAGTGGCATCGCCTTTGGCTTTGCCACGCAACAGAATGCTGCCCACATCGCGACTAGTAGGAATTTTAACTCTACCGGACTTGCGCACCATTTTAGTGCTACTGACTGATTAATGAAAAAACTCGCAGTAGCGACGAGACGACACAAAATTTCTCACTGAGCGCGCGCTCGCTTGTTGGCTGACCGTGCCCACAGACGCCAAGCCTCTGCTGCGGTTGCTGCTGTTGCCGCTGCCCCATATCCATATCGTATGTTGTCGCGGCTTTCGCTCTGAGTCTCAGTTCGTGTGCGTATGCGTGTGCGTGTCGATGTGTGCGTTAATCGACGCTTAAATCAATTCACTGTGTTTGCATATGTACATATTTTTGTCGCTGTGTGGAGCTCTCTCTCTTTCTCTCTCTCTCTCTCACAAACCTGACTTGGAGCGCACACGAGTGCTTGCATAGAGAGAATAGAGGCAAACATACGCTCGCACACATGCACACCAGTAAAGGCAATAATTTTGAAGACATCGCAAGCTAAAGCAAACGAGCACATAAACAAATAAATAAATAAAAAAAAAAGCCGGCTTTAAATTGAGCATTCTCTATGTGTGTGCGTGTGTGTGTTGGCGCACGAGTGCGACTGTGTGTGTATATGAAGACAAGAGATAGACACAGAAAAACAGACCCGAACAACACAAAGAAAAGCTGCTATAATAAAAACAAAAACAAAACCTCTTCTTATTTTAATTTATGCATTTAGAACTGAGGAATATTATGAAAATTTATTTTAAAAGAATTCGATCTAAAAATGCTAATAGCTAAATTCAGAGGTGAATAAATTATTGACTTGTCCGCGGAACTACCTGAATGAGTATAAAAATATAAGAAATTTGACAAATGCTAAGCGAATTAAAAATATTTT